AAAACAAAGACCGTAAAAAAACTATAGAAAGAATTATTCAGCGAATATAAAGCTATAAAGATTGATTTGTGCAAATATATGTCAGTGAAAGTTGATATATATACAGATTTTCAGAGACACTAATAATAATGGTTAATTTTCGAAAATATCATAATTTATGACTTAGCCTTCCAAAATCAGGCTGAAGAATTATTAATTTTCCATTTCTGTCAAAATGGAAACAATGTACGGCAGGATGGTTTGAAATGGTGGTTAAAAGTTGACTTTACTATAGATACACATCATTAGCATATTGCTAACTGGAAACACACTGAGAACAACTTGTTCTTTTTATGCAATTGGAGGTCCAAGAAAGAGGAAGCAATCCTCAACCAATCAGAGTTCTTAATGATCCTCCAAAACTCCACTGTATTTCTGTTTTGTTTCATGCCCTGAATGAAAATGCAAAATGAAAACCAGTCCTAAATGACCTATGAGCTGTGTTTTTCTGGCTTTCAGGTTCTGTTCAAGTCTATGATGGCAACGCCACTGAAGTTATTCTTTCCTCTCTAACAACAAATGTTTGGTGGCAAATCTATGTTGCTGGAATGAACATAGAGCAGGAGTTGGATAAAGTTGGCCCCGCTGAAATATGGCTAGGTAATTGCAAGACTTTAAGGATACCTCTTTTGAAAATTGAGATCAGGAAGTGCATATAAGTCTTTTGAAATATGTTGATTTTACCACTTATTCCTGGATTTATTATTTCATTTTGGGCATATTTGACCATCTAAACATATTCAAATACCTAAAAGCAGTTTCTGACAATAATGCCGTTATCATGGTCCACAGCCTCTTATCACTACAATGTGTTTCATAACAAAACAGAGTGATTGTAATTACCCTGCCTTTGATTGGTAATGAGACCCTGCAAGATGTCTAACCCAGATGGGCATCTTTATCAACCAGTGGGTCTTTTGACTGGTTCTGTGGCAATCACAGGCTGATACACCACCCTCTATTGGTCATGCATATATGCCTATTGTCACAATATTCCTCCAGTAGTTTGCTGTCTGGGATGTCATTTTCCTGGACGCAACCATTGCTACAATACAGGCAGGTGGTCATACTGCCCTCTATTGGTCATGCATAATGCTAATTGTCACGATATTCCTCCAATAGGTCCCTGCCCAGGATGGCATTTACCTGGGCCCAATGGGTCTTGCTACTGGTTCTATCATAATGTTAACAACACAGGCTGGTGGTATAGCAGAAGGAACAGTTGTCGTAACCAAGGCAGCGATTTGCTCATCATTGACAATCAGGAGGAATTGGATTACATTTTGAACCAGACAGAAACACTAGCACCTGGTCAAACATGGTGGATTGGTAAGCATTTCAATAACCATTATCAACAATTTGAGCAAGCATCCCTGATTGACATATTGTCAAAAACTTAAGAGTATGCTGAATGTAATTACCATTCTGGGCAAGCAGATGAATTGCTTGAGGAATTTGACTCTGGAAATAGGATTGTTACGAATGGGAGGGTTTATACAAATGTATGATGTTGCTTGTGATCCGGAAGTCCATCAAAGTTAGTTCCAAATCTTGAGATGTCTGTGTTCTCAGTGTGCAGTGATTCCAAAGAATAAATGGTAGCAGTGGATGAGCATAATATGAGTAACCTGTTTGATCAGCTCACATAAAGGTCCTGTAGACAGCAATTTGAAAGGTCTTGATTTCAGTACCCATCTTGAGACAGGTACTCACTGGTCTTGGTGTTGGTCTCTCTATTCAGTGGTCTCAGTCATTGGAACTGTGGGTCTGGGACTCAGTCTTAATTGGACTTTCATGTCTCGACACTTGTAGCCACTCATGGTTAGCAACATACATTTGCATATATCTGATAAAGGCTGAACCTATTGTGTGTATTACATGACATCAATTTCGCATGAAAATGCTTGCCTTTAGGTTACTATGATGTATCTGTGGAGGGTACTTGGCGCTGGGTAGATTGCAGCGATACCAGTGACTGGCAGTCAACTCTATGGGTACCAGGGGAACCAGCTCAGAGGAAAGATTGTGGCATTCTGTTAGGTGGTACAGGACAACTGAGTAGTGAAGTATGCGATGAGAAATTCAACTTTATTTGTGAAGTGTCGCCAAAAGGTAGGCAGAAAAGATGCAAATTTGTAAAAGTGTCAATCAAGTAGGCTCCCATTGACCCCATCAATACGGGCGATTCACAATAGTGCGCCACCAAGAGTTTGCAATGCGTTGGCCTATCATAACGCGCAAAATTTGTCAACCATTTCCAAACTTGCATTGGGTCGATTAATTTCGTACATTGTGATTGGCCAACGCATTGCAAACTTATGGCGGCGCACTTTGTGAAACGGCTGTATTGTTATAAATTTGAAGAATGTGAGATTGGAAATCACAAGGTACTTCAAATAGAAGGAAAGGGTAAGAGGATTTCTTGTTGACCAAATATCAATGAACTCAGTCAGATTGAGGACCTTAACAGTCCTCAATCATGGAGCAATTACTTAGTTTATACTTTTTATCTCCTACAAATGAATACACAAAGTACCTTTTTCATTTTTCTGCTTCTTTATCCATTGTAGCAAGTCTAGATTCATATATCGTTAATTGGGATGCTGTGATTGGTTCAAATTCAAGTTTTGTGCATGTTTTTGTTTTTAGAAATACTTATTTATTCTTTAATGCAATTTGGCATGGACTAATATTCCTTTTATTCCATACTAGTGTGAACCAAATCGTGTCTGGAATTCTTTGTTATTCTGTGACAATCCCATTTCAGGACGCAGCAAGACAGAAGCGTACTACAAAGAAACCAACACATTAACTTTATATTTGACTGCTATTGTTGTCTCCTTCATTGACCCATTTACGAGTTAAATTTGAATAAAATCTCGGGCGCAGTTATCTCAGTTATCTGATGGCACATTAACAAAACGATTTAAATTCCCCAGACTAAAGGCACTGTTGCTATACCGTGTGATTCGGAGCAAGCTTTTGCATAGCGACCAGTCTGGAATGGACTGGTTCCTTTGTGCCCTTCTTATCCATTGAGAACAATGTATTGTTGCAAGGTGTCTCTTATGTAACTAAGCAAATGCTTGCCCCAAATCACGAGGTATAGCAACAGTGGTTTTAGTAAGGAGAATTCAAGTTGTTATGTTGACGTGAATTTAAAAACTCAGTGTACCAGATCTGGGTCAAAGTTAACTCGCAAAAGGCCTATTTGATTGCATGAAGATTTCACTGAAGAGGAGACCAAACCAACCAAAGTTGTTGCTGTTGCCATGACACCTACAAGTGTTCAAGTGACTTGGGTCGTGTCAGTGTATTCCTGTGATATCATTGGTTACAGAGTGCATTACTTCCAAACGTCAAATAAAGACCTGAAAGGTGAGGAATGTATGGATTAAGGAGATTGGACTCTTGTTCATTTGGTCACGTTAGGTTTTGCCTCTTTTTAGCAATCTGCTTCATATTTGAATTTCTCTGTCGTAAGTTAGGGGTGGAACTTTTAAAAGCAATTAGGTTCATCAAGTTGGTTATACCACAGAAGGAGCTCTAATTAGATATAGTAGCTCCCATAGAACATCAACTTTTCCTCAGCATTTGAACTTGGGTACATTGTAAGAAGGTGCTCTCATGTCTGAATACAACTGACATAACTTGAATCCTGACTTTTGACAGATTCAGTGACAATCTATGGAGGGGATGCTAACATGACATTGCTGACAGACTTAGAGATTGATACAGAATATTCTATTGGTGTTGCTGCCTTGAACACACGAGAAGAATTGGAGCAAGTTGGACCGGTGATTGTCACCACACCATGGGGTATGTCGCAGCATGCATCTTCAGAAGTTCCTCTGCTGAACAATATGTTACTTGGCCATTTGTTTGATGAAAAACTTAGGTTACTATGGACTCCTTTCTTTAGTGATTGACTGTTTTCTTCCTATACCCAAACTCTTGTTTCTGACTTTTTTCTCTGAAAGGATTATTTCAGTTTTTGCAGCTTCTAAACTTGGCTTATCTCTATCCAAAAAATAGACTTGGATACAAGATCAAGTCTTACCAGTATCAACTTGATTTTGCTTTAGGTTGCCCGGAGGATTTTGAGGAAGGTCCAGGGGAACGTTCATGCTTTGCCTTCTACAATGACTATGGTAGTTGGGACGTTGCTCGAAGAACCTGCGGAGATGTCAAGAATGGTGACTTGGCTATTATTGATAGTCCACAGGAGTTAGAATTTATTCAGAAGAGGATGGAGGAGGTCAACCCAGGTCAGATGTGGTGGCTTGGTAAGGAGCAGTTTTCGAAATTAGCCATGTCACTGCTTGAAAGTTTTAGTTTGTTTTTATCAAAGCTGGATTTGTTTTTCTTCTGTGTGCTATCCACTTTTACCTAGGCTATAGTGACATATCCGTGGAAGGAGACTGGAGATGGGTTGATTGTCAGCCCACCGCTGATTGGCAACAATCTCTCTGGCCATCAGATGAACCTAGGTTTTCCGTAAATGATTGTGGGTACATCCAGAAAGTTGGCAGTGCTATGGAAATACGCTCAGTGGTTTGTGATGACAGGATGTATATACTGTGTGAGATTACTGACAAAGGTAGGATCCTAGGCTTGGTTTTTGGTTTTTGTAAGGGTTGGCTAACTCATTTCTTCACAGGCTTGCAGGAAGTTGGGCTTCCTGGATTCAGAAAGCATAAGCAAGTTTGGTCACAGGCCGCTAGTTAGATATTTAATTGCAAGCATTTGTAGACAGGCTTGGTTCACAAGGCTGCTTTATGTTTGAGTAGGTTGAGCTAGGCTCAACTAGATTCATTTAGTCAGCTTGAGGGCTGTCTAGATTTAGTTTATCAGATGATTGGCTGGCTAAATGGCCAGTCAGATTACATTTTTGTGGCAAGAGAATTTGCTCTCTGATTGATATTGCATGAAATTGTTACCCCTCAAAAATTGAAAATTCCCTCCATTTGTGTCATACTAGGTTTCATTCCAGAAGATGGAAATGCTAGGAATGTACGAGTTTCTCCTTTGACCCCAGCAAGCTTTGAGGTCAAGTGGGATGGGTCTCCTACCAGCTGTGATGTAATTGGCTATAGTATCTATTACAGCAAAGAGAATACTTCATCATCAGAAGGTGAGTTGTGAGAGGAAAGGTCAAATAGTTCAGTTTTTTGCATACCAAGAATTAACCAAAAACAGCTGTTCTTTGGAATCCACAAAAGAAACAACACCTGTGCCTGTAAACAGTAAGTTCATTACCCCGTGGAAGTAGCATTTGAAGTCCTCCTTCAAAAATTTTCTAACAAAAAGTAAACCACCAGTCATCATCCCTGATTTCAGTGTTCAAAAACCATACTGAAAGTACTATACAAATTTCTACCATTCTGTGAGGTAATAGCTAGGTGAATTTTCTTGGGTGGATTTTTTCCAGGAAGAGGGGAGCACTGGTGTTATCAGATTGGAGCTCATTCAGTTGCCAGTCAAATGCTGGAATTAAAATCCACAAAATAGTTTCCATACGTGTCATCAAAGAAATTCCCCTATTTGATTCCCATGAGTAAACTGGAGAGTGTCCTAACAGAGCCTACAAGAGTGTTCAGTTTGTGGTGTGTGATGAGGATACTGAACAGCCGATGGTTTCAACGGACATTGACAATTACCTTTCAGAGTTTACAACTGTGTATGGTGGTGACATCAGGACTGCCAAGATTGATGTTACCGCGGTAACGCAGGACACAGTTTACCTTGTCTATGTGGCTGGTTTGAACTGGTTGAGTGTGTTGGATCGTATTGGTCCTGCCCGAGTTACCTTGACTCCTGGTAAGAATTTGTTTCTTGTTCAAACCTGGTCATTTCATGACATTTTCACATTTTTAGTAAAACGCTTGTCTGATGATGTAAAACTTGATTAATTATATGTACATCCTTTTCTTTCTTTTGCCTCATTAAACCAGTTTTAATGAAGAATTGGTGGATTTGTTTATTTCATTCATAGGCAAAAAAAAGCGCCTTCCAGTGTTTCCAAGCGAGGACATCAATTGTGGAAACATTGCATTTGCTTAAACCATGTCCAACACAGTTCACTGTCAATAGATTCAAGGATATGAGGCCGCAAAGTTGGAAAATTGTTGAAATTTCAATTACTGCTGCCTGTGCTGGTAGGCTTCTCATCAAAATGTGGTATAGATCACCTTTGCAGTGGCTGGCTTGGAAGATTGAAGTGTGTATTAAAGACATCGTGATGGTGCTGTTCATGACCTCTTTGTGTGCTTTTCCTTTCTGCTGTCTAGAATCAGATAATCGGGAGTATATCTCTGTGACAGGTGATAGTGGAGACATACAATCCCCTGGCTGGCCCACAAGTTATGAAAACAATAAGGTATGCACAGAGAGTAAGATGCTGTTTTTGAATATTGAGATTGTCTGTAACATGAGAGTGTGCATTTGTCAGGCTGTTTGTGACATGTATGTGGTTCTTAGGTTAATCAAAAGAGGTTGGATGGCTTCTGATGAAGCGTACTAGTGTTTAAGTCAAGCGTTTAAGAGAGGAAAACTGATAATAAGATGTAGTGTTAAGTGTTTGATTGAAACAGAGCACAGAGGAGTACAGTGCCTGTATCACTGATTGACATTTCTCATTTTGACCATGACCACCTTCTGGAAGTACTTGTCCACAGGGTCTGTGATAAATGGGCTGTGATAAGGCTATATATATGTCTTATATATATCTTGTATATACAAATGCTGTTCAATTGTCTAAGGCTTCAGTTAGCTGTTGCAAGCCTCTAGCAAAAGCCACGCCATAGCCAATTTGGTCACAGACTGAGCTATTTGTTCATACGATCATCCATCAGGACATCACTTGGACCATTACTGTCTCCAAGCCTGGCCGTGTCCGCCTCACCATCCTCTCTATCCGTCTGGATTCTAACGGAGACTACCTCACAGTTGGCTCTGGAGGGACGTCTGGACTGAATGAGCTGGGACGTTACACTGGCTACCAGGAGAATGTAGGATATCTAGAGAGCCAGTTTAATCAGATGTGGCTACGATTCATCACAGACTCCACCAAGACAGCTCAAGGATTCTCCGTTGAATTTGCGAAAGTGGATGATGGCACAGGTATGGAAAACAATCCTAAAAATGCCTTTGAACAGTTTCTCAGAGTTACTTTTTCTGTAACGTCTGACTGTATATGTCCTCAGTCCTTCTCGGCATTTAACTAATTAGCTGCTCCACTGGTGTAAGTGATGGAGAAACCTACATTGATTTTTTATTCATGAACTAGTAAGGTTTCGAATTGTCACTTTACAGCTGAGAACCATTGGGTGCGTGGTTGGAGCTGAAAACAGTATTCTTTAGCCTTGAGAATGGAAGAATAATGCTGGGTAATTATGATTCTTATGATAAGCCATGCATTCTTAACTTTGTGTTTGTTTTTTGTTGGTCTGTCTGTCTGTCAGTGGATGACTGTGGCAGATCGTTTACAGATATTGCAAGTGGATTCATCAACTCACCTAATTACCTGGAAGGCACGCCTTACCCCAACAATCTTGACTGTGTTTGGAAGATAAAACTACAAGATCAGACAGCATTGGTGAAACTGGACTTTATCAACTTTGATGTGGAAAGAGAGTAAGACAGATTTTAATAATCGTAACAGTTTTTTCCCAGAATAAAACAGCACAGTGATGATTGCTAGAGGAAGCACCGTGTCTCATCAACTCAGCATGGTCAAGATCTTTCCCACGTTATATATTTTATTCCTTATGGTACGTCTTTTTGACTTTTGTTTCTTTCCAGTCATGATTTCTTGATAATTGGTTCGGGCTTGACTGTGAACGAGAACATTCTGAAGTGGATGACAGGAAAGCTTGACCCACCAATCTCAAGCATCGTCAGTCCAACCAATGAGATGTGGTTACGTTTCTTATCAGATGAGAGTCAAGGTAGCAGGGGATTCAGGGCAGAGTTTACCTCCCAGGAGGGTAAGAATTCATCATGGGGGAGGGGAGAATTAAGGTACCAGGTGATTCATGGCAGAGTACTTCCCAGGAGGGTAAGAAATTTCATCATGAGGGGGGAGGGGTACAAGGATTGATTGATTGTCAACACGAGTAGAGTGTGCCATGTTGGAACAGTCAAACATGTTTCAAATTATTGGTAAATCACTAAAAAGGTCAAAAGTCAAGTCACAAGTCAAGTGAAAAGTTTGATCTCATGTTAGGTCAAAGGTCTGGTCATAGGTCTGGTTACATGTTTGGTCAAAGGTCAGGTCAAAGGTCTGGTCACATCGGGCATCAGGTCACAAGTACTGCAGGAATGATTGATGAATAATTACCCAAATATGATGTTAACATCACACAGCTTGTGATTTGATACTGAGTGACGAGTGACTGACTTGTGATTGAGATGAATGTGTATTCATTTGATTGTTTTCTGTAACTTTGTAGGTAGCCCACCAACAACTCCAGTCTATGAGACAGCTGATACTCTTCTGTTTATTGTCAAGAATGAAAATGTAGCATGGGTGAGTGACAGTGGGTCTTGCATTTTTAATCTGTGAGGTTATACTGCCAACCAAGCACATATTGGCTGCATAAACGGTTCTGGATCACGATCAGTGATCCTTACACTGGTTCGCACCATCCATTAGGTGAGTTTTGGTATCGGTAAATCAACGACAGATCACTGATTGTGATCCAGATCCATGTGTAACAAACATGGCCTATATATCCAACTTGAAGATGGCAAATACATGTTGTATGTCTTGTGCACTATCAATCCTGTGGGGGTGACATATCCTCACATTTTGAGTGGAACTTTTTAGGATTTGTTTTGAGTTTCATCTTTAGTTGAAATGTTCTGTTAGTTTGAGACCTCTGATAATGAATAATTTCTTGGTTCCCTCTGGTTTTGTAGCTGCGTCTGTTATTAGGATCAATATTTGCTGTTTTGCCAGTGAGCAATTTTGTGTCATTTGTTTTCAGTTTGATGCTGTGAATCAAGTTCAGCTTAAATCCACCATTGCTGAGGTGTTGAATCGATATGAAATACCAGCACAGCAAGAAATCAAACAAAAGATTCAGGGAAATTTTGAGTAAGTCTAGCAGGGACTCATGACTTATGTCGTGCTTCAACAATGTTGTAGTGGAGTCTATCACGAATTCTTTCTCAAGACTCAGTGACAAAAGATCACTTTTGTCACAGTTTACTTGAATAGCTTATGACTTGGCTTAATGACTTGTGATGGACTAGTTTTGGGTCCAATTAGACTCCTTTCGTGGTGCTGCGATCTGTGCAATGTGTGACATTCATATGATCCATTTTTGCAATTCACTGTGACAGCGCCCTCTTTGTTCATCGATGAGAACACCCTCTTTTGTCAATAATTATGTAAAAAGCACACAGCGCTCCCGATATTTTTGCTGTTACGTACACTAGGAACAACCGCTAAGAATGTTTCAAGAACTTGGACTAGAGATGGACTTGCACAGACTTTTGGTGGACTCAACTGTGATACTGTGCTACACCCTTGTGGTCTTGCCCCATTTAATGCTTCAAAGATCATGTCTTATTGCATACACCTTGCAATTGGTCCTCCAATATATACTTTTTATGCTCCTAAACTGATGCAAGGAAATTTTCAGAGTGATGTGTCATGTCAAGGTTTTGTGTACAAAATGCCAGAAGACGTTGTGGTTGTATAAAACTGCAGTACTTGGTTCCTATGCCATTTGTCACTGACCCTCACATTTTTTTCTTTCACCTTTATTACAGTGCCTCTGATGTGGTCTTTGTTCGTTTCTATGACGTTGATAGTGACCTCCACATTGTGACCTGGGTACATGATGCTAGTTCCATCGATCCGAAGGTTCCTCTAAACCCGGAGATGGTAATCCAAGCCGTGACTGCTGAGAAAGAGTATTTCCAATCCAGTATGGGCGAGTCCTTTGAGTATGAGATGAGATTACCCACGACTCCTGTCCCTACAGTACCAACTTCAAGTCTACCAGACTGGGCTATCGCCGTCATTGCTGTGGGGTCACTCTCGATACTTATTGTGTTAGGCCTCTTCATTTTTGGATGGTAAGTTTCCAGTAACATTTCTTCGTCGTACCTTGATCTGCTGGGTTGATTTTGTTTTCTGCTTTACTTTCCATTTTCCTGTGTCTTAGGTAAGAATCCAACCAGATTTTTGGTCATTGGAAGGAATCTCCAATCCCTAACAGCAGAAGGAATTTTCTTTTTAGTTTGCACGTTTATCAAAGAGTGTCTCATCTTTTCTTTAGTTTGTTTATGCAGGGTTGTCACTCTCCACTTGCCAAAATCGTATCTTTTTGTAAATCGTGAGTAATTATGAAGAACCAACACAGAGTCCAAATATTTGTATTTCCCCTACTTTTCTTTTCAGTTCCAAAATTGGTGGTGACCATAGCAGTCTGAAAAAAGGTAAGTAAGGGTTTGTGGAATCTTTTGTATATAACTGTTATCAATTAATATTTAATCAGAGTAGGAAATCAAAAGTACTAAGCATCTGAATTTGTTTCTTTAAATTTCACAGAAGTCCAGATTCAACTCGGGGATGAAAACGGAAGTTTCAGACCAACATCATTTGGATCAGATGGTACTTGGTAAGAAATGCTTGATCTACATCACACAGGGAAAAAAAAAACTTCAAAGAGGTTTTGACACTTCTCTGTCTGTACTGATGATACCGTGCATAATATTGATGTGTGCTTTCCTATGGTTTTCAGTGGACCATGGGTCCCCCACTGGCTCCATAAGAAAGAGCACAAGTATTCAAAATACTGTATAAGGCATAAGCATGTTTAAGATACATGTAATTGCATTTAACCTCCATTCACGGAGCCAGCATACAA